ACACCCATACGCTCTCTCACGCACTACGGCTGACCCTTCCTGCACTCTCAGCCAGGGACAGTGTCGGAGGGTATGTGCATATGTGCCGCGTGCTACTTATGCAGGCAGTAGCCATGAGTCTTGTCTCGTGGCGTTTGTATTTTAGTGGGAGGCAGCTGTATATATAATTACCGTAGTTTGTGATTTCCTGTATTAGTAATAGAAAAACAAGTCATCAGTGGGAAGTGTGATAAAAATCTTTTCAACCCAAATTAGGAAAACAATTTACTACTGCTCGCTCCCTTAGTCTACGCATGCTTTGCGCTGGATAATTTTATGTCACTATGACAGATGCTAGGGTCATCAGAGAGGAGGGGGCCTCATTTGAGAAAATGCCTTCCCAAGACCAGGCATTTTCTAAATTAGTGATCGATGAGGGAGGGCCCAGTCATTTGTGGGTGGTGCCATCCCTGGGCTATGGGTCCTGGGTGCTATAAGAAAGCAGGCTGAGCAAGTCAGTAAGCAGCACCCTTCCATGGCTTCTCCATCAGCTCCTGCCTCTAGATTCCTGCCTTGTTTGAGTTCCTGTCCTGAACTCTTTTGCTGATGAATAGAGATGTGGAAGTGTAAGCCAAATAACACCCCCCCCCCCGAAATTGCTTTGGTTATAGCATCTCATCATAGCAACAGTAAGCCTAACTAAGTCAGTGTTGTTAAAACAAAATGCCACAGTCTGGGTGGTTCGTAAACAACAGTCATCACTTACATTTCCGGAGAATGAGAAGTCAAGGACAAAATGCCAGGAGGCTTGTTGTCTGATGATGCACTCCTCCTGGGTCACAAGCAGTCATTATCACACAGTGGAGAAGACAAGAGAGCTCTCTGGGTTCTCTTTGATGAGGACACTAATTCCAGTAGCAGGGCACTGCCCTCATGACCTAACCAACCCCGGAAAGCGTGGCCTCCAAGTACCATGGTACTAGGAATAGGTTTCAGCATATGAGGAGAGAGGAACACAAACAGTAAGACCACAGCATGTTGGCTTGTATTTACAAAGCATCTAACTAAGCAAGCCTCTCCAGAACACCGGGTCTAACTATGTTAGATGTCTTAAGCCTGGCAGATACAAGAGAACAGTGAGTACAAAGACACTGTGATACTTAGCAGACTATATGATGTGTATAAAAGATTTGTTTCATTTTTATTTACATGCATACATGGGTCTCTGAGTCTATGTAAGCATGTGTGCATGGGTGCCCACGGAGGGCACTGGCTCTCTGGCAGCTGGAGTGACAGGCAGGTGTGAGTCACCCAACATGAGTATTGGAAACTGAACTCTGGTTCTTTGCAGGAGCAGCCAGCACACTTACCCACTGACCCATCCTCCCGCCCTTGGGATGGGATATTTTCTAAAGAGCTCATGGAAATCCTCAGGGTTCTATGACATTGCCATGGGTCTCACCTTCCCCTTTCCTCGGTCTCTCCTCTCCTGAAGGTTAGTACTTTGGAGATGTCTACCTGGTCTTCCTGGGTGCCCCCTCTGCATTCTCTGTCATTATGCCCACCGAGTCCTTCTGAAACTTGTTATCTGCAGCTCAAGAATCAGCAATTACTTAGAAATAGCCCTGGCAGTTCCATGTCATCAGGTCCAGCCTTTTCTATGTCTCCGCCCTTGCCCCAGTGACACCTCGCTCTTGCATGTGCCTTTTGTTTTAGCAAACACTGCGTGGTTGCCAAAGGAGCAACTGGCCAGTAGATCAGATTCTTAAGGCTAATATACAGCCAAACTCAACTTCACTTCCTCACTGCAACCCAATGATGTTTATCTCTACCTGGTCCCAGCTATCAGCCTCTCAGTCTTGTTGCTATGAGCAACTACTGATGCCAGTTGTTGTTCCCGGCATGTTCCCACATTCTCTGAGGGACCGCAGTCAAGTAATTCACATTTCCTTTCTGACTCATCCTTTGTGTGCACCGCGTGTGTATGAGTAGGGGCACATGTGTGCCACAGCATTTCTGTGTAGGTCAGAGGTCAACCAGGAAATTGCTTCTCTTTTTCCACCAGGAGTTGGGGACCAAACACAGATTATTAAGCATGTGGAGCAAGTACTTGGACTCATTTAGCCACCCTGGTAGTCTCAAGTCCTCTTTATTTATTTTGTTTATTGTAATTGTGTGTATGTGTGTGTGATGTATGAGTGTGACTTAAGTGTGCCATAGCATGTGTGTGTATGAGAGGACAACTTTGCTGAGTCAGTTGGCATGGATTCATTGTGAGGCTGGAACCTGAGTTGCCAGATGTATGGCAGGAACCTTTATGTGTGGAACCATCTCATAGATCCCTAAGAACGTGTACTACATCCTGTATCCTGGGATACAAAGTAAGAGAAACGAATGGAAACACCCATGGCCGTTGATAGCCTGAAGTTCAGTGACTAGAGTATGTTAGTGTTGATTTCTTGGTTTTGCTGAGTGTGCCCTGGTTTCACAGGACAGTAGCATTATGGGAAATTGGCTCACAGCTATGTAAAAACTCTCTACCATCTTGACCGCTGTTCTGTAAATACAAGACAAACAGACAACTTAAAAGTTTCTATGGAAACATTACTGACTCCCGCACCCCTTACATTAGAGACTGAAACCCTCAGCATGACCAGGTTTCTCTTTCAGCCACACTAAAATCATCTAATTCTTTCCACGAGAGAAGCCTTTCCCTTGCCTCTAGGTTTTCAGAGTCAGGGACGCTTGACACGAGTTTAGTGGAAGCTAATACATGTTATATTTTAAAAACTAAAGAACATCTATAAATTAGATTTTGATAGAGGTTGGATTGTATAAGCCACTCACATTGGTTTTCAGTGGAGTGAGGACAGCCCAGAGAGCCTTTCTTCCTGACTCTCTCTCTACCTCCAATGCAGCCTCAAGTCCCTTTCCTCAGCTGTCCTCCTTAACTTTAGCACCAGACCCAAGCCACAGTCAAGACCAGGGCTCTGAAAATCCAGTGGGCCCTCCCACCTTACTGCTGTCTTCTCCCACTCCCCTGCCCATCCCACCTTCCACGCATCATGTGTGGAAATCTTCAAAATTGCTTCTTCCTTGTAGTTGGTATTATCCCCTTGGAAGGAATGTGGAACCAGGTAGGTGGAGCTGGACCAAGCTGCCAGGTGGTTTGGGTGACAGGTGTGGTGAGCAGGCTATAGATTAAAGTCAGGGTGTGGGGATCAGGTGCTAGGATCCCTTCGAGAAAGAGTGAACATCCTCACAGCACATTACTGAGTCATGTCCCAACATCCCTGAATGTTGCTGGGACTTCCCCTTAACCCAGAACAAATTCTTCTCATGTTTCTTTCTTCCCAGCTCCCATGTGATGATACCTTCCCCAATGCCTCATAAGCCATAATGAGAAAAATACATATCTTGTTACTTTGGGCCACACAGTCCTTTACAAAGTCACAATCTGAACGTTATGCCCACATTTCCAGAGGTGCCAACTCATCCCCAGTCTCCCTTTTTTGCACCCTGCCCCCTGCTTCTGCCAGTCAGATCCAGTACCAGGTCAGTCAGTCTAGAATCAACATGGGCCTTTCTGACTCCTAAACCTTTGTTCTTTGTTAGGTCCTAGCACCATTTTCTCAAAACTTTTACTGCTACATAACGGGGAGGGGGCATTGGTGCAATGTGCCTTCTAGAAGTGAAGAGCCTTTCCCTCCCGACAGGCTGCCCAGGAGAAAGTGCACGGAGGAACAGGTTGCTTTGGGGTCACCCAGGTGAGCTGTAAACCCTTCAGGGTGGCTCAGGTGAGGTGGGGATTCTTTGAGGGGCTCCTCCTTTAACTTGTAGCTTGGTGAGACAGATTCCCCTGTCAAGATACATCTCCAAAATGATGGACAGAGCATTTAATACGCAGAATGCTTTTCCTTCTGTTTACACTGTCGTAAATTACAAAGTATTGTTCACTTCACAAAATAAAACCATTTCCAGATTATTTTTTGACAGTATCAAGAAGCATAGAAGCCACAAGGAACAAATCTGTACAGTTGTGAGGAATGCTGACAGCAGGGAGCAGGTCAAAGTGAGCCCCAGGTGCCTGGATTCTGTCTGTGCCTCTGCAGTCCCCACCACCTTAACACAGCAATCCTCTCCTAGGCGCTCCAAACGAGACAGGTTGGTACACGGGTCATCGTCTCCATCACCTTAACAGGGCAATTCTCTTCTGGGCATTGCAAGCAAGACATGCCAGTACATGGGGGCGTCTCAGGGAAAGACACTGCAACTGGCTTTTAAAAAAAATCTAGATTTACAATTTTTGTTGTTTTAAAATATTTTGCCTAAGTTACAAATATAGAAATCTTGGTGTGAAAAACTCATGCTAAGATAAATATAGCCAATAGGATGGGTCTCAGGTAATAAAATAAAATCATGTTAAATTATCTTCCCCACAGAACAACTTTATGACAGAAACACATTTGGTTTAAAAAAAAACCAACCTTATTTTTTCATAACTTAATAATAGGTTTATTATAAAAGAAAAGTAAGGAACAAGACAACAAAGATTCTGTGGGTTCATGAGTCATCAAATGTAGAGACGTGGCAAAGAACTTCCATTTCCCATTGACATGGACTCGAAGGGCCCGGAGGAGGAGAGGGAAAGTGCCAACCTGCGGGGGGACATCCAAATGTTCTCAGATCACTCTGTGTGACAAGACACACGCCGCATGTTATAGGACACACCCTGGAGATATGGAGAGGCCACAACCAATTCCATAACACCCATTGGGGAGTCACACAATGCTTACAGAAAGGAAACTTGGGGATGCTCAAGACCACGCTAGAGTCACTATGAACATACACTACCTCACAGCAAAAAGCCAGTGCTGAGGAGCATGGGCTGTGGAAAGCAGGGGCATGGGGGAGCGGCGAACTTTTATCGAAGCACGAATCAGGACAGAGGTATGTCAAGGTGATACTGCATTCACGGTCAACGTTCACCAGGCATCACAGCAAGAAAAGGGGGGACAAGGGACAGGGCCATAACCAATGCACTGCATTGAGTTCTATTTGCTAAAATAAAATAACATTCTTGCAGCTAAAATAAAATACATTTTACAATATAGGTTTCATTTAACACTTAACATATAGAATTGTCTTCTTTTTGTGAAGGTGGAAAATGTATACTGTACCAAGTACCTTTATGAATTAAGTTCCATTTTATTAATGGTAAGACTGACGTTTAAAGGTCTACGTTTTTTTTTTAATAAGTTAAAGAAAGATTTATTAATCACTCTTCCAGCAAAACAGACATATATACGAGGCATGGCAAAAGACCCAAGGTAAGGGGTTTCCTACCCTCACCCTTGCTCTCACGTGGAGGAGGGAGACACAGTCCCCAACACTGCAGTCCACTGTGGTCCGGGAAATCCTACCACTTGTTTGAAAAACAAATCAAGTGTAAGAAATGTTTTTATTCCGTTAGCGCCACCAGCTCATTTCCCTGATAGATTAGAACAGAACGTCTTCGTTTTCTATTAAAATCTGCACGATCAGCTTTTGGTACCGCATGTCATGGAGGGTGGTCAGAGTACTGTCCTCAGGGGGTCTCATCAGCGTGGGCCCGAACACAATTCCCAGATTTTCTGCGTTCATTAAATTGTCCTTTTCATTCATGGTAACCCTGCAAGGCAAGCACGGAAACTTCAGGCAGACTGGCAGAAGGACTGACATACTAGCTATACATTTGGGGTCTGAGACCATCTCTGGGTCTCAGGAGGCTGCGAAAGCAAGTGGAGACCAACAATGGCAGGAAGACATCTTTTTTTTTTTAAGATAATTTTCTGATTTGTTTTCCTTTTTAAGTTATTGATCCTGCCTTCAGTCATTAGAACTAAATGACTTATTAGGATCTACTGAGAAAACAGGTTAAGGATTGGGAGCCTGTCCTTCTTGAAGAAGAGTGTGCAAGTGTTATTTAGGCGACAACAGTTTGAAGGGGCAGGAGGTCCCTAGCTGACCCATGCTACCTTCCTCATAGGGAAGTCTGGTTTTTGTCACCACTTTGTACTGGTCTGCATGCTGGAGAGGGGGCTGAGTGTGGATTGGTACCACAGGGGAAAGACTGTTTGTAGAACAGGCTGCTATGTGTTTAGGAAGACCCTGGCTATTGTCACAGGGCAGGAGAATGGCTGGAATGTGGCCAGACTGGAGGGCAATTGTTTATTATGCCTAGTTCCCAGAGGATGAGGTACAGAGCAGTCATTATTGTTGGACCAGCATCCAGAAAAGAAGCAAAGAGGTTTTAAAGACAAAATCTAAGTCCTCAAGTTGCTTTGCTGGTTTCTTTGCAGAATGAATGATGATCTTCTAGACTCTTGCCTTCAGGAATTTACTCCTTTAAGAGTGTTCATCATAGATAAAAAGGAGTAGGTTCTACAAGACAGAACATACTGTGTTAAAAATGTGTTTAGGTTTTGCAGAGAAACAATCCCTTGCTCTCTGTTTCTTTGAAGCAGATTTAAATTAGCCACTTAATGTTATTTTTGGTCAGCTCAGTTTGAACTGTTTTCATGTTGCAAAGCTTAAAAAACAAGCAGGAGAGAGGCCACTCTTCACTCTGGGAAGAGGGACCCCAATTGAGAAAAGGTCTCCATCAGATTGGCCTATGGGGCATTTTCTTGATTGATGATTGACATGGGAGGGCCCATCTCACTGTGGGTGGTACCATGTCTGGGCAGGGGGTCCTCCATTGCATCAGTAAATAGTGGTAAATAGCGCGAGGGTGCTGTGTAGAACAAACCAGTAAGCGGAGTTCCTCTAAGGCCTCTGCTTTAGGTCCTACCTCCAGGTTCCTGCCCTGACTTCCCTCAGTGCTGGACAATAAAATAGAAATGCTAGCCACATAAACCCTTTTCTCCCCTCGTTGCTTTTGGTCATGGTCTTTATCACAGCAACAGAAACCCAACAAAGACAGAAGTGAGTACCTGAGAGAGGATGGCTGTTGTAACAGACCTGACCGTGCTGTTTTTCTGAGGTCTGTGGAGTGTTTGGAACTTCGGGCTGGGAAAGTCATCAGTGCTCAGAGTCTAATGGGTGCTCTGTGAGCTCTTGGGAGGTAAGAACGTTGAGAACAGCACAGCCATGGAGGCCTGGCTTGTGAAGTTTCAGAAGGGAGCAAAGACTGCCCTCAGGACTGTCCATAGAGTAGTTGGAATTGGGGTTCTGGTCACCTGGGACTGAAGAATCAGCTGTGACTAAGAAACCAGCATCATTGCGGTACAGTCTCCTGGGAGTATGTCCCCAGGGCAGCACACAGAAGTGGTGGTCCAGAGGGAGCCAAGGCTGCATCTCATGCTGACAGCTAGACTTGGCAGTGGGAAAAGGTGTTAGCCTTCCTCTCTGGAGGAGACAGAGGCGCCTTTAAAGGGAACAAAGCTGCATTCCTTGGGCATCTCCAGTCCCAGTTTCTAGAATCCGTACCACACCAAGAGCTGCTCTGTGTACTTGCAGTGGGGTGCCCTAATGCCTTCCCACCCTGGGTAGATCGGGGAGGTCAGGCATGCAGATGTTGGCCTACTTTTTGAGGTGGATCATCAGGTATCGCAGGGTCTCATAGTGGGCAGGTGGCAGCAGCATCAGGACCTCATGGACGGCTTCCAGCCTCTCATCTGCATTGGAGATTTCTATAAAGAACACAAAACCAACCACATTAGATACCAGCAGTCCAGAAGGGCGATGAGAAGTCTGCTTTGTCTTCGTTGCAAATAAGGCATCTGACAAATTCATACAATCTCATATATTCTTTCACTCAGCTTCTTTGTGTCCCATCTCATTCCAGAAAGAGCTGAGGGTGAGCACTGTATGCTTAAATCAACATCTGTGAAGTAATTTTGCGCTCACCATCCAGGGAACAAGTGTACTATAGGATTCCTAATTCTGGGGGCACATACACAGTTTCTGATGCCCTTCTGAGGCCTGAACTTGTTAAATCTACCAAAGCTCTAATTTCCTCTGTATTGTGTGGTAGTGTGCCCTTGAAGCTGTCCAATGGCTCTTTCCTTCCCATGCTTCCAAATACATTTTTCAACTCAAGGACATTGGCAGATGAGCCAATCAACAATGCCATCAATAAAGGCACATTCACAAAGGCATGGCAAGGGTTAACCGCATGGGCAGCCCAGGCTAGGAAGCAGATACTAGGCACGTTAACAATGGAAGGAAGAGTGTGTGAACTTGGGGCCACTGATAGGTATTGGCAGGAACTCAAGGAAAGCCCTTCTCTTATCCTGGGACAGAAACACTCCGCTGCTAGAACCTTCTCTATCTCAGACCACCAGAACCCAGGAAGGAATGGTCTTGCTAGGGGCAGGACCACAGCTCAACTGCAAAGTACACTGTGCATGGATCTTGTGGTGGTTTGAATGTAACTGGCATCCACAGGATATATTTAGCCCCTCCCTAATCTCAGGGAGTGACACTATTAAGAGGTGTGGTTTCGTTGGAGTGGGTGTGGCCCTGTTGGAGGAAGTGTGTCACTGTGAGGGCCGGTTTTGAGGTCTCCTATACTCAGAATACCATCACGTTTGTCAATCAACTTCCTGTTGCTTGCAAGATGTAGGACTCTCAAATACTGTCTGCCTGCTCCCACCATGCTCCCACCATGATGATAATGGACTGAACCTCTGAACTGTAAGCAACTCACCACAATTAAATGTTTTTCCTTTCTAAGAGTTGCCGCGGTCATGGTGTCTCTTCACAGCAATAGAAACCCTAACTAAGACAGATCTCAGCATGCCCTTGCTTCCTCCTGTCAGGGATTAACATAAATACTAAAACCTTTGAAGATATCTAATATCCCACAAAGTCAAAGAAAGTTCCTTAGAGAAGGCTTAGCTTCTCGCCTATGCATCTCAGCATCTAAATTCCTCCTGTTTTGTTACTCCCGTTACCAGGCAAAGTGTGGCCCCTTCTCTTGACATATCCTTTACTCGTCCTCTCCCAAGAGCAGTGTGCCCGACAGGTCAACACTGGATGAGGAATTGTTGGCTGACGGTCCCCTCTATATAACCCAGGCTAGCTTTGATCTCCAGATCCTTCCGACTCTGATCCTTATGTACCACGATTATGCAGCTCTAACCTGGCTGCTTTTATTAACCTTGAACAACACGAACAGGCAAAGCCTGGATGTGGTTTTAGCTGACACACAATGTGACTCTGCACAATGGACAGAAATAGTTTACATGTCCCTCCTAGGAGAACACTGATTTTTTTTTTAAATTACAGAAATTTACTCTTAGAAAACGCTAGAATTGCATTCCCTGTGCTCGTGTCCAGGACACAGGGAGCAATGATGAGAGGCAGAGCTGCCTGGCTCTCAGATTCTGCCTATAGAGTCAGACAGATATGAATGTGGGACATCTGATGAGCACTATCTGGGTTTCTATTTGCTGAACTTCTGGGCCCTCACCTGACAGGGCCAGAGCTCACGAAAGTCTTGGGAAAGCTCTGAGCTTTAATTTTCCTGAGAGTAAGAGGCCTGTAGTTCTCTATACTTACTCGCTGCCTCTATAAATTTGGAATAGGTGTCATATGTGATGACGGGGATCGGTAAGTCTCTGAAGTACAGTTTCAGGGCTCCAGTGATGATGTTTATGTCTGGGTAGATGTTAGCAGAGATATCAGCCTTCTCACCATCTGCAAAACAGGGAATGGTCCAAGTCTCAATGAGATCTTAATTCACCAAGTCAAAGCAGGTACAGAGAAAGGAGAGCCAGCATTGAATGTGTTCTGGCAAGTCCCAGAATCTCAGCTCTTAATGTCAGGAGCCTGGGGTGACAGAAAGGACCCCCGCGAGGGAGGCACGGCGGTGAAGAGGAAGGACAGACAGGAGGACAGCAGGATGGATCAAGAGCTTCTCTGGGTTCCAGCCCCTGCTAATGAGCCAACAGACATTGATCACAGTAACTCCCTATTGTAGGCAGACCACTTCATGACAGAGCAACACACTAGTATGAAGTGACATATAACGGTCCACAGGCATGAAATGCCATAGGGAAACCCATTATTCTGTGGCCAGATAATCTTTTTCTAACCTCTATGTTATCTTTGCCAGTATTTTTTGGCCTTGGACTAGAAGATGATATCTTTGGTTTCAGGCTCACTGAAGCTTCTTTAAATCTGACCCTTCCTACTCATAGCACAGGTACAATGACATTACTTGTTAATTGTTATGATCATTCTCAAGGCATCTACATCTGCATATGTGTGTGTCTATATATGTGGTATGTGTGTAAAGTATATGTACATGTCTCTTGTGTGCACACATGGAACTGGGAATGACAGTGGTGGCCACCAAGACCCAGCTATCCTCCTATCTCCAACCCCACAGTGCTGAGGTTACAGGCACACACGAGACCATAACTACATCTTTACGTGGGTTCTGGAGATTTGAACTCAGATTCTCATGCTCACTCAGCAAGTGCTCTTGCCTGCTAGGCCATCTTCCGGGCACTCTGGACCATTATATACTTTTTTAAAAAAATACATTTATTTTTAGGGGGCCTATCTGTGTCATGGCATACACACAGCAGTCAGAGAACAACCCGAAGGAGTCGTTTATCTCCTCCATCTTGTGGGTGTATAGTACTGAACACTGGTTGTAAGCCTTGGTGGCAAGTACTCACTGAGCCATCTTGCTGGTCCTCAAGTCATTTCTTTAACTCTAAAATTTTACTATTAGTATCAATCTATTTCACCTAACACATGTCATGAGATTTCTTTGTGGAAAAATACTGTTCAATTGTATGGAGAGTATTAACCTGCTGTACTTGGAGATTTAAAAACATAAATGCCTTAGCAAATGGTTCTAAGTTTTTAAAGAAGCCATGAATAACTAAAAGCACAAACCAAGACATTAAATGCATAGCAGATATGATAGACTATTGAACAATATGATGGTTAGAGCCAAGGCTCCTGGACAATGTGTGTCCCTAAAGAACAAAGAACTTAGCTCCTAAACCTACGCTTTCATCCCCAGCTCCTTTCTCTGGAATCCTGAGAGGAAAGCTCTCAGTAAGACCCCTGAAATGTGGATGCAGACAGCATTCTGTGATGATCTGCGGACAGGCTTCCCACTCAGATCTTTCTCACACTCTTCCTTCTGGGGTTACCTACCGGTCTACCGAAACACTTCTCCCAGAGAATGTTGAAGCGTGGTTCTTCCTATTTCTGAAGAATGACTCTCAGTAGTTCCCAGCCCCCACTTCCACTGTAAAGTGAGCTCTCGTTGCTTCACTGATGGTCAGGATAACCCAGGCGGCATTAAAGACAGTTCACACTCACCTCTGTCAAATGCCATCTTGACATCTTCGATGTGTTCTGTGAACCCAGAGACTCTGTAGATCCCTTCTGACTTCAATCCTGCAGGGCAGGGGACAGCAGGAGAGATGGGGGGAACCTTAATTTTGGTGTCCCACAGCATCTAAAAAGCCACTCGAATTTTCTACCCGCGCTGAGTGCTGGCAGGAACTGAGCAGATTTGGTTAGTGATCTGATCGATGCATCCTGCTCTGTTGCCTAAGAACCTGGATTTTTCCCACCAAGCTTCATTTGAGTCTGTCTTCATCTGCTTGTTGGAGATGGGCTTCTCAGTGGAGGCTGGGTCTTCCTCCTGCCTGGGTGCACAGTGAGCTGAGAGCTAAGATTCTCCCTAACTATTTTTGGTCATCAGACTTCCTCACACCTATTTCACCAGTGCAGGCAGAGCTCGGCTTTCTCCCTGGCATCTCATTCAGCCGTGTGGTGTACTGTATATAGCTACCCTTGGAGAAAACTAAATTGTATAGCCTCTTGTGTTTGATCATAAGAGAGACAGTATGCTAACCTACCAAGCATGCTTGAAATCAAGCATTATTGTTCTGTCTTCAGATAGCTAATCATATAAATAGATATGGTAAAGTTAAATTCCATTTAATAGTTTGAAAACTTAATCACTGTAAGAAAGAGAACATATTTTTGCCCTCTTGAGTATACTGATGTGTTAAACACATGCTAAAACCTAGCTTGCTCTTTTACCCAGTGGGTGACATATAAGATCCAAGTAGCAGAAGGATTAGAGGATCAGACTCCATATATAAAATTGAACTGGTGTTAAAACTGAGCTACAGCAAAAAGGAGTGACCTATACATTCTTTCTAACTTTTGATAACTAACATACATTCCTGGCTTTCAATTTTTACTTTCAAGGCATATGTAATATCTGCTATATGTGAGAGTCTGTGCTGAATACAAGGGATGGGTGACTCTGCTCTTTTCCCGGGACCATGGCAGGCATGTGCAATCTCACGAGACTCGGCTCCCTCACGGCAGCCATGTTGAATCCTAGCTCTGCTCTCTTGTGGCAGGCATGTTTGCTTAACTTTAGCTCTACCAGCTCATGGCAGGCATGCTCAGTTCATCTGTGTTCGGCACCCACCGTTGAAACTACCACTGGAAGTGACCCACAAGACAAAACTTGGGTGCCACTCTGTTCCGGTTGGGTACAGGCATTGCCAGAGAGGTTGGTCACAGCTGTTTACAGGACACAGTGGTGGACGTACAGTCCTGCTGATAGAGGGGAGAGAGGACATCTAGGAAGCCCCCCTCAGAAGCTGATGACTGGAGGCTGTCCTGAGAGATGGGCTGGGTTTGGAAGAGCAGCAGAGGCTGCCCGCCAGCCTTTCAGGATTTGTTTTCTTATCTTCCTACTCTAATGAAACACTTGGTTTCGAAACAACGTTTCATCTCTTTTGTTTTGTTTACTGTAGATACAATGTGACCAGTCACCCCCTATTTCTCCTGCTATGCCTTCTTGTAATGAACTGTACTCTCAAAGTGTGAGCCCAATAAATGCTTCCTTTCTCCAGTTGCTGCTGTCTGGTAATGTTACAGCAATGACAGTTGTAACTGTTACAGCTGGTCATGCTGGAAGACTGGAAGGAACCAGCACACCCTGTGTCCTGGATGCTGGACACTGGATAGGTCCCTCGTATGGGTAGACTTGTTTTGATCCTCAGCACCACCTTCTGGGGTACAACTGATTCCACTCACTTTACAGAAGAGGAAGCATTTCCAAAGAGGGAGCAAATTCCTTGTTGAAAGAACTCAGATAGGGTGAAGACATCCTTCTCTGTGACCTGTGCTGCTTTGGATACAGTGTTGTGTTTATCTGTCCCTCTGATTCTCCAATCTACCACCTTGAGGTTGAGAACGGAGACTTTCATATCATCAACATCTATTTAACGTATTTAATGCTCAGTAGACATTTGCAGAATGTGGACATGCATGACTTCTATAGGAATGGAAACTAATGATATTGGTTGGCTAAGTATATTTAGCTGTATGTGTGTTTGTGTGTGTGTGTGTGTAAAAGTCACTGTCATAACAGGGGCAGTAAAGTGAGTCGGTTTCCTCAATGAAAATGAAAATCAATATAATATATTAAGTATAATATAATAATATAATGATAGTATTTTACAAACCTCTCGCTTCAATTTCCCGAATACAGATGTCTACTACCATGGGCCTCTGAGTATTGTGAGCTTTTACGAGTGTGGTGAGGTCACAACAGTACACTTTCTTGATCCTCTTGAGATCAGGCTGGCAGTCGTTGGGGACATGCTTGGAACACTGTTTGTGTACATTCAACCCACAATCTGTGAACAAAGAAGCCACATTAGCCTCATTGGGTCCTTTCGTCAAATCCCAGGACAAATTATATGCTGCCAAAGTACATATTATAGTACCCAAGGGTTCGGTGATCTTTCCTGGAACATTCATCCCATCAGAAGATGGTGCTTCCCACTAGATGAGCACAAGATTCATCCTATGAAGTTTTATATGACTGAACTGTCCTTATGACTGCCTCTGTTTCATAGACCCAAAGAGAAGAACACCTAGCTGACATGGTCAGGGTGCTAATAGGCCTTTTCTCTTTAGACTGGGGTTCCTGGGGATTCCACAGTGAGCTTTGGGGCATAGATTCTCAACGTAGTCTTGCCTCATTAAGGGCATGGAGGCTCATTCTAGGCCATGCCTTTAAATCCTGGATGTTCTTTTGTAGGATACATAATAACTCTGTCTGCAGGACTGTCTGCTCTTTGATTTGCACCCTGCCCTTCCAGAAGTCCAGCCTGGAGTTTTCCATCCTTCTTGCTGGAAGCTGGAGTGGGCCATTCCTTTTCTGCTCGCTGTACTGTGACTGAGTGGAAGGGATGTTGCCCTGCACTCCGTCCAGTCCAGTACCCGAGAGCTGATATTTGACGACAAGGCCTTGTAATATGATGATTACAGTAATTATTTATAAGGATTATATCCAGAGCCAAAGCTGCAAAGGTGCTTTTAAGTTCAATGCACAAATTAAAAGCCTTGTTAGCAGCTGGTATCCACCAACGAACTTTCTCCACAATTACGTGACACAGTTTGCCTTCTGGAAAAATGAAAGTTTAATGACCAAGTTGCTCACTGTGAATGTGCTTGGCACTTAAAATGTCTTCTCATTGTTTCTCCTAGGTATAAAAATGGTATTTCTATACGTACATGTTATTGTGCATGCACAATAATGAATATTGTGGCCAGTTGCTTATAAGAATAGTGTTAACCACAATGGAGGTCTGACGCGTGTGGATGTCTGTGCAGTCACCAATGTTGATTCCTAGGTAATAGTCCTGGGCTCAGTTCTCTGCTCTCCCTTTCAAAGGAAAAGTTCTAACTGTCTTAGCTTAATCAGAATGTGAAATTCAACTAAATTCACGTACAAGTCAGTTTCATTTTGATGGAGCTACTGAGTGGGTGTAAATTTAAATTTGAACTGAGCTAGCTAGAACCGGTTTTCTTCCTGGGATCCTGGTTTATAAGGTGGGGATTACACCAGCACCAGGGGATCATGAAGGTCAAACAGAGGCTAGTGCCTCCGATCCAGCGTGGGCCAGGACTGTGAGAATAAAGCATGAAGGTACACGGAGAGGAGACATGGGGCCTGCCTGGCTGTTCTTCTGTTAGGGAATTTTATTACATCTTACAGACATCAATTAAAATTTTATTTTCGTTAAATTGTATCAGAATAGACATAAGATATATTTACAATTTTAACCATTGAATTATAATTTATTTATATTTAATTTCTTAAAATTAAAATTTATTTTAAATAATTTAATAATCATTTAACTTAACTATATCTATTTGTTTATTTATTGCAGAAAAGGTCTCACTGTGTATCCCTGACTGGCCTGGACCTTGCGATATAGGCCAGGCTGGCCTCTCTCTCACAGATACTCAGCTGCTTCTGCATTTTAAAGTGCAGAGTTAAGTGGCATTAAAACCACTGTCGTATAGCTACTGCCGCCACCTGCTATGAAAGCCTGTGTGTTCCGGCAGCACCCCAACCTGATGCCCACCAAACAGTAACCACACACACACCCTAGACTCACTCACTGGCAGTGACAGCCCGTGGAGTCCTACCTAGATTCTAACAGATGGATTCCTTTGCACTTTTCTTGGTTTTCCATGTCTTTTATAAGACTGAAGAACACTCCATTGTGTGCCTATGCCGTGTTATCTGTTTGTCCGTCAGTGGGGTTGGGTTCTATCCATCTTTCATCCACGATGAACAATGCCGCTCTAAGCATGGGCCTGCAAGTGTCTGGTGCAGACACTGCCTTTAAATGTTAGGATTACGTGGCAATTCTGTGCTTAATTTTCTTACAAACTTTAAGACATTTAGTTTATTTACATATATAGAACATGAATCCTATGAAAATTAGGATGTTTAAAGCAAATTTAAAATCTGGACCATTAAAAACATCTACATTATGGAGAACTGAGGCCTGTGGGGACTCCCTTGACTATGAATGGCCAGTGTCTAGTCTTCCTGCTCTTCAGGGAAATATTAGATCAAAAGTAACCACTGGAGACAACTTACACTATAACCTTACATCATGTTTCCTTTCAAACAAATTAGAAACAGAAACAAACAAAAAAAATCTCAGAGCTCGTCCACCCTAGAGAAAGTCGCTGATTACAGCTAACTGGAGTCCAGAAACCTGTTTCCATAATATTGACTTTGGACCAATTTCCTGCAGAAACTGGATAATATCTGTGACAAGGGTACAACCTGACAGCCCTAACTAACAAGCACAGAGTAATTCACGTGGTGGATCCCCGCACTCAGGCCTGGAGCTGTAGGATGCCTGTGAAGCCTTGTGGGTCTGTTCTGTGTTCAGCAGAACCTTCTGGATAGGTTGTTTCTGATGTGGGTTTGCCACCTGCCTCAGGACTCAGGGTGGGAAGCTCGAATTCCTCACACAGCAGTTAGGCACTGACATGGGGGTGGCTGTGCCTATAGAAGGGACGTTAGTAAGCACCTTCCAGGCAGAAAGGAAGGTGGAGGATACGTGATCCCACGAGCTAAATGGGTACCAGGGAAAGAGGCACCTCTCAGTGGGAGACGTCAGCTGATTCTATTCACCATGTCCTAGGACGGAGGCAAGCAGCCACAGAATCTGTGGTATTCCAGTCAGCCCCAGGGGCAGCTGCTCTTGCTCTCAGCGCCAGTGTGTGCCAGGAAAAGCATGGCAGTGTGAGCGGGGAAACCCGGCTAACATGCTGGTTTGGCAGCCCTTCGCGTTTTGTTCAGTGTCTCTTAAAGAAGATGCGGCCCATGACATTTGCAGCTGGGGTTTGCATACAGTTCTCGATGGGAAACTAGACCCGGGGTTCAAACTACTTTGAAGTGTGTGAAAGCAAGATGGATTTGATCAAAACACACTGTATGAAATTCTCAAAGGATGAAGTAAAACATTGAAATGACTTTTAAATTTAAATCTTAAATTATTTAATGGACATAATTTCACTATCAACTTGATGGCAAAGAACTGGATGTGAGCTCTGGACTGCTGCTGCTTTTAAACGGATGTTTCACCACTTAGCCGTCGCCTCTAAGACTCCATCTCTTTTTCATTTACTAGGAGATAACCCTATCTTCCTTTGGCTCTGCTGGTGAGGGTGCAGGGCATGGTGATATTGGGGCAAATAGTGTTTGTGGCAAATACTCATGGCATTCACCACTGTTCTTTTTTATGTCCTGTCTGCTAAACTAAAATGGAATTGGAAAGATATATAATAAAATGGATTTTCGAAATCTAGGCAGTTTCATTAAGATCTATTAAATCATTTTCTCTTAAGGGCTGTGGCTGGTTTGGGGAGGCAGGTACATTTTAAGGAAGTGTACTTGTTTGGTGACTTCTCATTGTATGAACTTACATTCAGACAAGCTAGATTTCTGAGCTCATCCAAGCACAGTCCCTAGCTAGCTCTGAAGGCTGCTTCCCACTCAACAAGGTGGCACTTTATGTAACTAGAAGAGGACAAAGTTTCATGTCTACCTGAACAGCGGACTCCTTGGGCGATGAGCCCCCACATGAAATTGGCGCAGTATTCACACCAGTGTGGGCCTCGGAATGTGTGCACCTGCGGGGCAGACAGAAGAGCACAGAATGTTCAGTCACCTGAAGGCACCGAACCTGACACAGCCTCGGCAGCAGTGCTCTGGCCCTGGGCCTTTTTTGGTCCAGTAAGGCAGAGTTGCATACTGTTCTGAAAGAATCAGACAGATTTGATCTTTGAAATTCTTCATGGATCCAGCATAACCCAACACAGGCAGAATGTGGGGGAAAGAGTGAGACCACAGAAATATACAGAGATGGAACGAGACTATCACACCCCAAACAAGGCTCTAAGAGTGCAAACCCAAGATAGCCTAAGCGGTGGGTAGGTCGCTCCGTCCTGCATTTAGCTCAGCAAGTTGTTTTGGGCAGAAGAACTCAATTACTGTGTCCTCTTGACTGAAGTTGCTCTATTCAGGTGTAGAATTTCCAGTCAGATATAAATAAGCCATGGTTATGAGATAATTAAAAGGTTTCAAGGCTTTGAGCCACTTCCAGAAAAAGGCATTTAAAAAAGTAAAGGAGTTGGCGAAAAATGCAGGTTTACGAGCCCACGAAATGGCTTTTCTGAGGGACAGGGACTATATTCAACCAGTTCTGCCATGGCTTTCAGATGAGTAAGTTGGAAGGCTTTCTGGCTGGCCAAAGTCATCCTGGTCTTACTGTTCAGTATCTCAACCAGCTCTTAAGTATTCCAAATGCTACAAAGTAAGGATGGTTTTAGCTTAGGTTATTCAGGCACAGGACCACACATTAATCTGTGGATCAACACAACACAGCATAACACAATGCAAAACAAAACTGTTCTCCAGCACTGAGGAAGCAGAAGTAGGAGAGTTCTTGCTATCAAACCTGGCCAAGATGAGCTGAAAACCATACAGTGTATTGAGGAGAACATGAATCTATGTAAAAAAAATAAAGTTCTAGGTTTTTACACAGTCCTAGCAAAACTTCTTTAAAGCTAAGATAAGCTAGACAATATTTTAACAAAGTAGGGATCAATGTATTACTACTTTTTAAGAATACTATTCTTAGCAAAGACAAACAAACCAACCAAAATAACAAATACTGTCACAGTTTGGGAAGGTGAGCGGTCCCTAAGGGAAACAGCTGACCTGATACTCCTGAGGAAGGAGCAGCCCATCAGACTCCTTTGCTCAACTACACATATTGGCAAGTGTGCTAGCAGAGTGGCGGGTGACATCAGCCTCCCAGTCGAATTCAAGCGTGAACGACCACAGCGAAAGAAAGCATGGGACTGAATCTGAAGGAGCGCCTTATGACCACGGCTCTGTGCGGTGAAACTAAGTTCTATCTGCCTTTCGGGTATTAAGTTGCCCGGGACATTGTTTCTGTTTTGAAAAACAGTGACACCAGTCTTAAAAATTGTTTTTACTTGAATGGAGAAGTGGTCCATTTGGGTATGATCCTAACCCATGACAAAGCACTCCTTGTAGGAATGCAGAGAATCCACGAGGCGCTTGCATTTTCCAAAGGCCACCATTCATTTCTAGGCCCACTGAAACAGAACTCTGTACTAAAAGAACTCTTGGGGAACATGAGCCACCAAGAGTTGAACATGTTATGAATTCAACAACCATTAATGTTTTACCAGAAAAGGGCTAAAGGTGCCAGTTGATTTTGGCTGTAAAGCTGATTATTAATACACTGTTGAAATTGTACCATAAGGTAAAAAAATATGTAAGTTCAAGTCATATGGAAAAGGTTACAGAAGAAAGGTGGGGCTGCTGCCATAGTGAGAATACGGGGGCACTTTCCTCGATGGTCCTGGACGGTAACTCAGAGGAGGAGAATAGCTGGCTCTGTACAGAAAGGGCAGGGGACATTCTGGGCAGAAGAACCTCTGGAGACTCTGTAGGAACTGAAGAACTTGGTGTGATTGGCAACTCAAGGCTGATGTGGCTAGAGCAGAGAGGAAGAGGAGAGGAATGGGAGATGAAGGGAGGGTAGAAAAGGGAAAGTCACTTGGGTGGCAGTGGGGGACAGTAGGGGACAGGTCTCAGACTTTCTTAGTGATGCAGATTTGGAGTGGGCTCAACAAGGCATTCCTGCTTGAAGTGGAAAAGTGATTCTTTCAAAAGATCATTCTGACTCTGTCTTGAGCGTGGGTGAGAAGGTTTGGAAGGGGCAGAGCAGTCTTGTTGAGGAACCATAAAGACTAAAGCAGAAGCCTGGCAGGAAAGATGGTAAGGGCCTGTATATTTTGAAGATCAAAATTGTATAACCTCACAGCAGAATGTACGTGGGTCTCTGAGGAAGAGAGAGGGTGGGGAAGAGTTTTGAATGATCCCTTGTTCCCCCCTTAGGAAGCAGGTGGAAGATAATACCATCTGATGAGGTGGGGAAGATCCTTAGTGGGGAGAAGTTTAAGGCTTGCTTTGGGTAGGCTGAAGACAACGCTGTCATGCCAAAGTGTTAGTTACAGCAGGAAGTCACATGAATTTAGTGGCTTGGAGAAGGAGTGGCGGTGACAGAGATGGATGTGGCCATCTCTGAAAAAAAGGTAGATGGTGTTTTAATTGGACAAATGGATTAAAAAAGCATTAAGGACAGGGAGGAGAAAGCAAGTAGGGAGAGGTCGTGTCTGGTCCTCCATTCTCCACTACTTAAAGAAGACCAAGAGAGCAAAGCACTTCCGAAGCCAACAGGTGAAGACTGCTTTAGGGAAGGGGTGGGTCGCCATGTTGGATACCGATATGATACCCTAGTAGGAATGTACTTAGATGTTGATTTGGGTACAGGGAAGCCACTGGAAACCTTGTCAGAAACAGTTTCTCTGGAGATTGAATACAGAATTAAGGTTCAACCTGAACTGAATAAGTGGGGGATAATGAACTAGAGAAAAATGTAGGAAAACCCATGAAGGAGCTTGGCTAGCTAGGCTTGGTAGTTCAGGGAAGCTAAGGAAAGGGGACTGAAAGTTGAAGGTCTATTGGGCAGCAGCAAGACTATCTCAAAAAGCAAAAACAAACCCACTTCATTCAATTAGTTCTGTCCATATGTGCATGGGTATAGAGCCATCCATCATGGGGTCATGGAAAATCCACCACTGGCCATGCCCTCAAAAAACAATGACCCTCTCACTCTGGACAGTCACCAACTGCCAATAACTCCACGGTAAGGGGTTTATATGGTCATATTTCATTTTATACACACATAAATGTCTCAAGAATAAAAAATTACAGTAAAAACAAAAGCATGGCAAGAACTAAAATATGAAAAGGAAAGGGGTCTCAAGATGCGGCTCAGTGGCAGAGCTCGAAGTCTTAGGTTTGGTCCCCAGTAATACAGAAGGAAGCTTGGCTATGCTGCTAAAGGAGAAAAGACAGGACACAGGAGTTGTGGGCTGGAGAGACAGTGCTTTGAAAGACACCAGGACACAGTGAACAGTTAGTGGGACTGATAAGTCACGGTAGATGCAGAATAGGCAAATATACACAGAGACATGGTGATCCTGAGGAGCCGCGAAATGGTGAAGTAGTGGAAATGGACGTACGCAATACTGAAAGAGAAGAATATTTAAGATTTTCCAGAATTAGTAAAAGGCGCAAAACATCATCTTAAGAAACATGAAATGAGTTTCAAACCAAGTACATAAAAGCAATTTGTCACCACAGAGAAAGTGGTAACGCTGTTCAAACCTGAGCCCTGAAGACATGACATTTGCTTGGAAAGGGACAACAATTAAGGTAAAGACAGGCTTTTTCTTCAGCAACTATGAGATTATACATCAAATAACTCCATCACATCGTGAGCCTAACTTTCATACCCACTTAATTATGGAGAAGGGTAGTAAGATAATGATATTTTCTGACGGACAAGAAGCACTTTTGAGCCTCATGCAAAGAAACAAAGGATATGCTTCCCTGAGTTGCAGAAATCAGAGAAAGGAATGTGACTCCAGATGCAGTGGTAAGTGCGGTAAAGAAAACGAGCCAGTCTCTCGGTTCTATCTGCAGACAACATCAACACTAAAAGAGTTAGTTTCAGGGATTCAGGAGCAGGTCCGCAAATGAAAAGGGTTGAACGTGGGCAGGAGTTGAGTCACTGCATCGTCTTTATATTTTGGGAGATGTAGGAAGAACTTTTTATTACCTGAGGATGTTCTAAATAACTAGAGACAAAGTGGTTTTCTTTTCTTTTTCTTTCTTTTTTCTTTTTGAGTACATAGAAAAGCAAGGCATAGATTCCATATATTAAGAAAATATCCAAGAGGAAAATGACACACAGATTTGATCAAGCCAATAAAAAGTAAGAAAAAGTAAGAAAACCAGTGAGCACATATAAAATATTTGTAATTCTCTAATGACCTATTCAGAGGAAAAAGATTTGCAGATGGTATTTAACAAATATTTACAAGAAACACATTCAAAAAACAACGTCAAAGCCAAAAAGATGTACCTCAAAAATGCGACTAGCCCAGTGAACCCAGTAAGCCAGACATGCCTATTTGTGTAGTCATAAGAGGGCATAACATTGGTATGTTTTACTAGAAAGACATAACTACTTTGAGCTTACATGTATATGACAACACAGTTTCAAAAATCTAAAATAAACATGGAAAAAATTTTAAGGAAAAGTTGACAATTTTACCATTATGAGTTCAACATTTATTTACTGAAACTGATAAGTAGCTGTTGTTAATAGATGACAAAGGAAAGGAAATTTATACCCAACAATTCAAAGAATGTACTTTCCCCTAAAGCACACAGAGCATTTACATAAGCTAACTGCTAAGTATAATGTGAGCCAGTCATAAAGACACAGCAGCAGCGCTCCCAGTATATACTGTGTGTAGCAGACTTGGCACCCAGCAGTGACAAGTGTACCTCAGAAAGGTATGCTTCTCATTCCCAATGGGAAGGTGGGAAGAGATGAAAAGCACCCTACCGGAGTCACCTGTGACCTTTGCATCACCTCGTCATTTCTGTGATTATTTAGTTAACATGCAGGTGGCTGCTTTGAGCCCAGCTCTATCCTTGTGCAAGCATAGCTGAGAGACAGCAGAGAAACAAGCAAACCCTGCACCCAAGGATTTCAACATCTAGAAGGATAAACAGGTAATAAAAGCGATCGTGTGTCAGGTGATGTGCCTGATCACGTAAGACATTCTATAACACAATAACAGAGAGAATAACTAGTTCTTGAAAGGAAAAAGGGTTAAGTGTACAGAGTTTAGACGGATAGAAGGGCACCAGACTGGGAACCCGAGTAGGAGGGTTCACTCCCGTTGACGGGTGAGCGCTTGACAACAGTCCGAGGTAAGACAGTGTAATGGAGGACCTAGAAAGGAGGGCTTGGGCGTTGAAACTCAGTCGTTTTTGATAAGATATGTAAGCAGAGGGATGATACGAAGCTACCTGGAGCATATCTGGTGCATCACTGGCGCCACAGTCAAAGCGCCAGGTTCAGTAGTTAGGGAAGCAGTTTCGGTATTTACTGCACACAGATGGGGGACTAACTACTAAGCACTTCCAGAAACGCGGGGCTGTCCATCACACTGCCAGTCGTCTGCAATGTTACCCAGCACATCAAAACTGCACAGAGTGCTTATCAGTCCTGCCGTATTTATTCCATGTCTTTCCCAACACCCAGCCCGTGGGCAAACGACACATGCAGGTAGACCCCACAAGGAACAAGTGACTCTCCGCGTCCCTTACTTAGTCCCACACTAGTAAAACAAAATACAAATCAGGGGGAATGTGAGTTAGACAAACATTATTTTAGGCCCCCTGCCCAGTTTCCTTTTGAGGATGAGACATTGTTTATTTTTTGTGGCTGGTGTGTTATTCAATTTTCTACTGGAACCCGAGGAGAGAACGGACTCCAGGGAATGCTGAGGGTGTGTTCTGAGCCATGATCTTTGGGGTTGATGTCTGACATCTGCCATCTCAGTGAAAAAACCTTATACCTTAAAACAAAACAAAACAAAAAAAAACACTAATCAGCTCTTTCTATTCTCTGAAACTTACTGATTTTCAAATATATATATATATTTTTTTTTGTTAAGAGAAAGAACATTTTGCAAATTCGAGGGTAGTAACTAAAATACCCCAGACAGGAAGAAATTCTCCAGATAGGAAGAGTGTTTTGTCCAAGACTATTCTACTGGCATGGTCTTCCTGGAATTAAAAGGCCACAGCGAACAACAAGATGGCATTGCGAGAGATAAGGTAGATGGGCATGTAATAAAAACAAGAGGGAGAAGAGCTGTCAAGAGCATCCCAGGCAGCCAGCAGGCATCCCCACTCAGCTCTCCGGAGGTGAACAGGATGTTATTGTCTCACATTTGCTGAATCTGGAAGGCCCGTCTCTCTCGTGGTTTCAGAGCAAATGTTTTGATGGGCCAGTGCAGACACCGCCGGAACACGCAATCAGCTTGCCCAGACTCCAGCTGTAAGCAAGCGCGACTTAAGATGTGCTGCGGTGAGGAATTTTTATATTTTCTTATCAGTTTATATCAGGATTCCTCAATATTATCCTTATTAACATTTTTGGGCTAGGAAATTCTTGGTTTTGGAGGGAGGTGGCTGTCTTGGGCACTACAGGGATTTTTATTTTCTTTCTTTTTCTACCCCAGCATCCCTGGCTGTCTACATACCAGAGACTCACAGAATCCCTGAAGGGATGGGACAGACGTTGACAAGTGCTTCCCAGTGGTGGTGGCAGGGGCAATGCAACCTTGACTGAGACTCACAGACACAGAACAAAACCATTTTGCCCCAGCTTATCAGTTTTATTTTTCATAATAAAAATGCAACTTGACTGTTTCGTTGTACTTGGAAAAAGGACTATAGGGCTAAAGCCACTTTCTAGACTGTTTAATGTGCATAAAAGAGTGGCTTAGAGTTGGCAAAAGACTCTTTCAGACTCAAGGGCCTGGGTTTTGGAGGCCCAGGGTTCACTGTGAGGGGAGGCAAATTCGCCTCACTTGCCCACAAGGCCAGTAGTGCAGTCAAGGCCTCCAGGTTTCCACAGAGGATTGTTCCTCTACTTTACTGTTTCCCACAATCATGTGACAATGAACTCATGTGAGAAATTAAACTCTGGGCTTTCCCTTCCTGCAGGAGCAGGTGAAATTCTGACCCTGAAGTGAACCTTCTCAGATGTAAGGAGATAGCAACGTCACCTGTAACAGAGACACTTTCTGTTCCCTCAGCAAGGTTCACCGCTCAGATGCTGTGAGAGCGCCCAGTGCTAAGACAGGCTCTAATGGAGGCACCAAGGATCCCTGGAGCAGCTGCCTGGGCATTTAAGATGGGATTAAAGGTGTGATTCCACGGTAAAGCCACAGACAAGCTCAGAGACCTGGCCTTGTTGGCAATGCTGAATCCGACAGACTATGAGCTAAGCCTCAGCTTCATGCTCGTCTCCAGCGGTGGGCCTGAGAGACTTAAGACTTGGGGTTCCTGGCTGAGGGAAGCCCTTAGACCCTCTTGCAAAGGTTCCACACCAGAGCTTAAGTAATTTATGCCAGAGACACCAAGGCAGGGGCAGGGATGAAGGGGGCACCCTAGTGACTGGTTAAGATGCAAAAGCAGACGGCAACAGCTGTGCGTGCATCTGAAGGCAGAAGGAACTGTGTCATAGAAAAGAGGGGGCTGTGTTCCCAAACTATCACTGGCCACAAAGCCTTTCTTGGATCTTCTCCTTGGACTCAGATGCTCCTGTGTTGATTTCCACTCTTATTTATGTCTACCTCCTCCTGAGGTCTAAGGCCACACACCCTGAAAAGGCTAGATTCCAGCTCTTCTCAGAAGTTAAGCAAGCTCAGACCTGGTTATTGTTTGGGTTGGAGGAACCAGAGGCTCCCCCACTCACTCCCTGGAGCTGTGGACAGACAGCTGAGGAGCACTACTCTGGGGGTTGTCCTGGCCACGTCCTCCCTGGCCTCTCTGGCTGTCACTGGTACACTTTGGTGTGATGGAAAACACATCTCCACCTGGGTGATGGTGGCACACGCCTTTGATCCCAGCACTCGGGAGGCAGGCAGGCAGGCAGGCAGGAGGATCTCCGTGAGTTCAAGGCCAACCTGGTCTACAGAGTGAATCTCAGGACAGCCAGGGCAACACAGTGAAACCGAGTCTCAAAAAACAGACCAACAAATAAAAACAAACAAGATATAAAAAGCACATCTCCAGACATCGCCAAATGTCCCCTCTGTGGCGAAAAGTGTCCTGGCTGTGAAGCCCTTGGCAGGAGAATGCTGCTGTGTGTCCCTCAGCACTTTCTGGCACCTGGCACCCAAGCAGCCCGTGGTCTGCGTTGGTGGAGTAAAGGCATAAATGGCTGGGGAGCTCTCTTTCCTGGAAAGTTTCAGAAGGCGTCTTCTTAGTATGAATTGTGACCACTGGTACCCACTCTCTTGTCCCATATAAAACACAAAAGGCTCATTTCTCTGGGTGGAAAGTGCCAGAATCGAGCATTTAGTCATTCAGAATAGTCCTTTTGAATTCTGTGTTATTTAGAGCCAGACAGAGTCCATAAAAAATTAAGAACAGTTAAGCACTTGCTAGGGGTCAGATGATGTAGCCGGTAAGTGACACTGTGAAGCTGTATGGCTGAGCCATGTCCTGGTGTGGCTGAACGTGGGCACCCTGCTGTGGGCTGCATTAGGTCTCAGTCTCAATCCTGAGCTCTGCTGGTCTGAGAGGGACTCGCAGTGACAGTGACGAAGACACCGTGACACACACATAAAGGTTAGCTGGGTGGGAGACGTGCTCTGAGTCTGCTCTGAGTCCACCGTGGCACGAAGGTGGGACACCTGCCCACACCCTTTCTCTACAAACTGCTCTCACACTTGGTTGAAATTCCTGCTGTCAGCACCGTTCCTTTAGCCCAGTGCTTCTCAACCTTCCTAATGCTGCAGCCCTTCAGTACATTTCCTCATGCTACGGTGACCCCAACCATAAGATTATTTTCATTGCTACTTCATAACTGTAATTGCGATGCTGTTGTGATGCGGTATCTTCCGTTCTGGATGGTCTTAGACGACCCTTGTGAAATGGGTTGTGAGCCACAGGTTGAAAACTACTGCTTTGGGTGAAGCTAGCATGCAGCTTGGTCCTAAAGGATTTGTTTAAACCAGGACAGATGGATTAATTAAGTCATTACTGTCACAAATAAGCTCTTTTTTTTATGGTAAACACATACTGTCAAAGTTTGGATTTTAAATGTTCTCACCCCTAAAACTCATATGTTGAAATCTTGGTTCTCAGCTATGGTGCTACTGGGAGGTGGTAGTGACTTTAGGAGACAGAAGTTTTCCTTGTTGGAGGAAATTAGAGCATTGGAGAGTGTGTCCTTGGGGATACACTGGAACCCAGCACTTTCTCTGTTTGCTTCCTGACTGCCATGAGGTGAGCAGCTTTGCTCTAATATACACTTTGACTCATGATGTTCTGTCTTGCCACGTGCCAGAAATGACAGAGGCCAGAGACCATGTGCTGATCTGAATCCATGAGCCAAAAAGAAAAGGAAAAGAAAAAGAAAGAAAGAACCTTTCCTCTTTAAGTGGGTCTATCTCAGCATTTTGTCATAGCAATGAAAGGCTTACCAACACAGGTCCTCACCGTGGAGCACTAGGTAAAAGTCTTGGCTAAGCACAGGGATCGAACTTAGGGCCTCTGCATAACTTCCCATGTAGGTTTATCCGAAACCAGATGACTTTTTTCAAAGTATGTATCCCAGCAGAAGAAAAAAAAAACCCTGGAAGAATGGAGTGTGGGAGGAGCCCAGGTCGACTGAGTAGTGACAGCACTTTTCAGTAGAAGAATCAGTGGGAAAACGGAAGACAGGAGTGACGAGGCAAGAGAAACAACAGCGTTGGAGGTGTGCTAGAGATGTGCACACTTCCTCTTCAGCTTTGCTAAGGAGCAGTCCTGGCTGTGAAATGGGACAGAGGTCAAAGGCCATCTTGGCTAAGGGCTCTCTGGTCTTGTCTTGACTACTATTTTAACAGTACCTCACAGTTTTGTTTTGCATCAGGCCACACCTATTATGCAGCCAGAGCAGCCTAACCATATGTCTTACCTAACAGCCATGCCAGATCCATAACAGTAACATACGTTCTCTATATGAGCAAAAGAGACACTTCTGATGCCACACAGGAAGGGCATCCTGTTGCTTTAAGAGCTCTGTGTCCTTACTGTATTTTTTATTCATGAAGAAATATTTAATAACAAGACCAGGAAATTTCTTCACTTTCTGTCAGACCAAAATAAAGCAGCAATAGAAAAAAAAAATAAAAACCTTAAAGATGTTGAATGAGTAACCATGGATCTTAGCAGTGGTACCCACACTAAGTGTTGATACTTAGTACACATTAGTTGCCGTCTGAAGATGTCATCCTGTGGCCTGAAAGCCCCTAATAAAATGGCAGGCTTGAACTTGTATGTGGAAGATAAAGATGTACCCTCAAAGATGAGAAAGAGGTCCTTCCCCCTCAAGTCTCCTGAAAATACCAATGTAGTCCTTGGAATGGGCTGCACTGTGTCTTGAAGTATGATCAAGTCCAATCCTCGGTCACTGAACATGTAGCCTTTAGAAAATAAAGTCTTGGAAGACATAATTATTAAGAGGTTGTGCTGGACTAGCATGGCTCTACACACAGTGACTGGTGACCTTAAAGAAAACCTACAAGGACACAGAAGATGGTGATATGAAGGTAGAGGCAGAAATATGAGCCAAGGGAACCCCAAGGACTGCCAGTCATATGGATAGGTAGCCGAGGGCATGGGGCATCTGCAGAAGGAGCCAATGCCCACAGCTTGGCTATAGACTCAGACATCTTAAACTAAGAAAATAAATTTTTGTTGTTTTAAGTTACCAAATTTGTGGTTCTTATGTCAGAGGCAGGAACTTGCTGAAGTCCTCATAGATATGATACATTTCTTGAAAACTGGGAAAAATACACATGGAATCCAGGTCTAAAACTTTTAACCCTTCATCTACTTTTTAAACAAATGAGGGGCATTCAGGTACATGGTAGACCATATTGAAAGAAACAACATCAGACGTCATTTCATTTTCTGTTATGCATATTTTGTTATACAAGAGAGGAAGAAAAAAATGGTGGGAAGAAAGATCAGCCTGTAGAAGTGAGGGCATTAAATATAAATATAAATATAAATATAAATATAAATATAAATATAAATATATGTAGATAGATAGATAGACAGACAGATAGATATCACAGAGAAAATTAAACACGAAGACAGAGGGGAGTACGAGGCACAAAAGGATGAAGAATAAGGTGATAGTAAAAGTGTACATCAAATGACTTCTTACCCAGGGGACAGAGAAGTGACACACAATTCACATGTATCTGTTTTCCAAGTGTAATTGTGCAAAGAAAGCCCTGAGCATAGCAATAGCAGAAGAGCTACCTGCTGGTCAGCGTGTAAACATGAAACCCTGCAAGGATCCCATTTTTACCAGCAAGGAAACTGAGGCTAAGAGAGCTAAGCTCATTGCTAGAGTTCATGAGTAGTCATGGTCCTTGCCATGTGTTGATGGAACGGAAGGATAAGGATGCAGGTTCCTGGGGCTTGGGGTTGGTTCACCTGGAGAGTTTTAGAAGTGAACCACAGATGCACTGAGAGTTTCCCTCACCAGCCAAACAGAGTGGAAGCTCTTTCCTCTATAGATAATTTTTGTTTATATTGGAATCTTAATTTCACCACTGTCTTTGAGTGGAGCAGGAGCCAGAAGTCCCAGGAAACCCCAGCTTTGAATAACCACAACAGCAGCAGCCAACAGTTTGGAAAGTACACAATTATCGCATGTAGTGAGGCATAACCCCCAAAGCTATTGCACTGAATTTTTTTTTATTTCTTGGCAGTGTTGTTTGAAAAGCAGGTCCCAGGTATGCCCTGCTCTCTGGAGCATCTGAGAAGAGCTCTCTCCCAGAGTTGTGTATGTGGAGAGTTTCTCTTCGGTCCCCATGAAGAAGTTCTTGAGTACAGCATTGAAGAGAGTTCTCAAATGCCCCTCCCCCAACAGACCTAACTGTGCAAGGAGGCCTTGCTGTGGGTGAGGCAGCAGGTTCTGCTGGCAGATTCCTATCTCAGGTAAGAGTTCAGATCGGAGCAAAGCGAAAGTTATTTGCTGATCAGCACAAAAAAAAAAAAAAACACGACTATGCATTCTTGTTACACTAATGCCATGCTATGTACATAGCATCTTCCAATCAGGAAAGTTCCAGAATACAGCCCATCAGAAGTCAACATAAATAAAAAGCTGACGTAAAACGAAGGTATAAAACATAAATTACAAGTACTTAGTGGGGCCCTTGGTAAAAGCCTGCTTTCTTTAGTTAGTGACTTATTCCTAAAAACCCATGGCTATATTTACAGCAATGACATGTTTCTAGAATGTTTTCCCGAAAGATCAAAGTTCGTGTCTGTAGGCAGCCGAGGGTCAGAAGAGGGTAAGGGACCTCGGGTGGGAAAATATGATTCAGAGCACAGTGAGTGCCTCCTCCAGCCCCAGCCACTGATTCTCAAGGACACAGACAGGGACAGCACCACTGAAAGCCACATTTGCGGCCGCAGCGACTCCAGGGCCTCTTAGGTTTCAAAGCCGTCTGTGTAAGCCACAAAGGGGGTGTGTTCCTGTCTGTCTCGTGGACCCACCTGGACAACACATATGTACTAGGCTCTCTCTCTCTTCATGGCACACTGAATGCTTTGTTCTTCTACCAATACATCTCGGCATTACAGTTAGGAAATCTAAGCGAATCTTCTCAACCATTCTTTCTCAGAGTGCCTTAAAATGTCCCCTTTAGAGATGTAAGCTAGAACAGACTGGTACGGGCTGTGACGTGCCAGTCACCTGAGTCCGCATGTGTTTGGAACTCATGGGGAATTCCCTCTGTGAAGCTATGCCATACCAACACAATCAAATGGCGCCTTTGAAGGAAAATCACTAGAATTCTGGAAAGGAAGGAAAGGGATCTGCAAACGCAGCAAGACCTATCCTGTCATGCCCGGCAGAGCATCCACAGGATGTCCAAACCAGGGATTCCCGTCAAAAGTCAGAAAAACACTTTCTTAAGGAAAGAAGAGATCACAGGGGTTAAATAGAAAACCAGAAGGAGAAAATAAAAGAGGACATTTCGTGTTCCAGATCTGTCATTATTCAGTAATGGGAGAAAGAGAAAAGTCTTAGTGTGGAAGAGACCCCAAAGGGCACAACTCTCTGCCCATCACTAATCCGTAGGGTTGAAGGCTCCCATTCCTCTGCTCAAGGACAGCAGGCAAAGGCCTGATCTGTATGCTTTCCTAAACTAGCAGCGGAGACATAGACCAGGCTAACACGAATGCAAATTTAATAGGTGCACATATATCCTTAGGAAACGCTGACCCTTCATTCGTTTCCTTGTTCCTGCTGCTCCGTCTCATTTCCATGGCTGTGGCCCCAGAAGGTAAGCAGAATTCAACCAAGGAGGACAAGCTGCAGTTTGGTTCTGCACCTACTCTTTTCTTCCTGAATCCTGCATCTGAAAACCCCCAGCTTCACACAGTATCTCCCATCCACTTAGGTGAATCTCTAGCATGGTCCATCCTTCCTCCCCAGAGCAGCTTCCCATGCTGGGCAATTTGTCATGGGTTTCCCCTCTGAACACTTCTAGCACAACACAGCACAGCACAAGAAAGAGGCCCTAATCTCCTGGCGGCAGCTCACATGCAGCGCGGGTCTAAAATGAAGACAGTACATGGGGGAAACCACTGAGACTCCCACCAATTCCCCTAACTTTTTGTTTAGACTGGAGAGCGGGGTCAAGCCTGGTCAGACTGTAAGGTGCCCCTGGACCCAAAGCACACACGCAAGTCAGTGAACGCCTATGACATCTGCAGCTGTCTGCACAGAAACAGAATCACCGAGAACAAAAGACAAAAACAGCAAACATGAGCTGGACAGCTGTTTGCACTGTCTCAGACAGCAGCAGCCCTTCTTCTGGGTGGAAAAGTACCGCTAGGTTTTGTGCAGAACAACTTCTAAGCGCCACCGACTGGGAATCTTCTGCGCCCCTCTCACCGGGCACAGAAAGGTGAGAAGTAGGCCTGGCTTCCCAGAACTAAGTCAGTACACGTGTAGGTATTAAGAAAAAAAAAAAAAAAGAGCAGCCCTGTGAAGCCAGCTGCTCTCTCCAGCCTTCAGTTTGACGCAAGGCAGCGGGTTATGTGGAAAACAAAGGAATTTGCTGCCTCCTGCCTTTCTGACTAGAGACCAGATGGAAGTCCTCAAGGATCCTCTCCCACCCCCACTTCCCCTCCCCCGCAGGGCAGCAGAAAGAACGTAGCCACTCACCTTGAAGTTGTGTGTCTTCTCATAGTTGAAGTGGTTGTCGTGTGTGAGGGCAGCTCTTCTGACAAGTGAGGAGATCTGTGAACAAGCAAAGAGCTTGAGAGGAGACCAAAGAAAGCCACCTTTGAGTCCCACCTTCAGCCCAAGCGCAATGGCCAGCAACTCTTGACGCTTCCTGCCAGGCTTGGACTTGCGAACCATAGCATATTTCCTCTCGTTTTCCAGCCAGAGCTCCTGAGAGAACATTGTGCTTGGGTCTCGGATCTCCCGAATCTGCCTGTGGGAGCTCTCTAGAGCCAGCAGAGTTTGGGGACTGTGGCAGCAGATTTGAGACAGCTGTGTCCCGTCTGCAGAGCCCCGAGGCATGTGACCTGGAAGGGACGACTAAGTGATGGAGGGGGCTCTGACTGAGTAGGGATGGGCCTGCTTTGTGCTGTTTCTTAAGGCTGGCATGTGCCTGGAACAATAGCCTACATTCATGTGTAGCCACCCCCTGATTATCCAGTCAGCAGAGGAGATCCAGGGAGGCAGCCATGTGTGCACATGCGCATGTGTGCATCCAGGCGTGCGTACACACACACACACACACACACACACACACATACTTCTTGTGGTGTTCCTAGTCAAAGCTGTATCCAATTATTCTGGGCCTCTGAATCTCATCCTGGGCTGACCTCCAGCAGACTAAACCTTTAAACCCACATGATTCCTTAATTGTATAGGGATAAACTCGCACCTATATTTTTTTTAAACTGCCCAGTACTTGAAAACCTTATCTTTATTCTTACACATTTATCAGTTTGAGCCCAAGCAGCTTGTGAGAGAAGTGGAAACCATTTGGCTCTGGGCTCAGCAAGCTCTTAGGCCAGAGGGTCAGAAGGCAAGGCTGCCTCACTACAGGGTTCTACCATTGTCCTTCATCCATTCCTGACGCTCCTGCAATCCCACGAGGAGACACACCTTGACTAAAATACAAATGTCACTGCCGTTTCTCTTTTTACACAAAGCATCTTGGGTGTGCATTTTGTTAGTGCCCCAGCCTATCTTCAGGCTCTTTGTGCTTTTAAAAGCATTGGGTTGGCCTCCTTTGGGATCATGGTGTTTGGTCCCAGGTCTCCCCATTAACAGAAGAGGGGGGTTGGGGTGTCTTGGGAGTACTTTAATGCAGCTAATACCAGACAGACGGTAAAATCAATACTTTCAGAGCTAGAATGCAAGAGAATACAGAAGGCTGGGTGAACAGAGAGATACATTCTTGAGTTGCATCCTGTGTCCTATAAGACATGGCCCTGTGTCTGAGCAGAGCCCCTCGAAGCTGTCCTGTGGCAATTCATCACAGCAGCCCTTTCCCTGTGTGAGTCTCCATTTCTATGCCCCATCATTTTGGCTTGGTTCAGAAGCCAGAAGTGCCTTCTCCAATTTCATCTTGCTACTTTAAAAAAAAAAAATCAGAAATAGCAGTCAAAGTTTTTTGTCACTTGTAGGAACTTATGCTGTGCCAGACAACACTCAGAATGTACTAAAGCACATTTACTAATTTAATCTCCAGCATAAGGGTACAAGGGCCAAGATGTTTATGTCCATTTTCTGGATGAAAATACTGAGGCACCAGGAGTAACAGAAATTGCTGAAGGACACATATCTTGTAACAGTAGCAGAATCCCACGCTTCTCCATGGCTGAAACAAGTCCTGGCATTGTGAGCTTTTACTGGTCTCGATAACCATTTGTCCCAGAGATCCTGAAAAATCTCGTTTACTGGCATATTCAGCTTCTCCATACAGCAGCTCCGGCTTTTCCTTAGAGTATTACAGCATCATTTAAACACACCTACCTCCTGACCAACATGCAAATTCCAACTCCTGTGCCATGTGCCAAGAAAACAATCCCCCCTCTGCCTCCCCCCCCCCCCTGTATTTTAGAGGAAGGGTTTCTCTGTACCTTTGGAGCCTGTCCTGGAACTAGGGTGAGTTTGGCCTCGAACTCACAGAGATCCGCCTGCCTCTGTCTCTCGAGTGCTGGGATTAAAAGTGTGCGCCACTACTGCCCGGCTGCGCTCTGCCCTCTTAAGTACTGTTCCGTCCTTCACTGCACTTACCACCGTCTTAGCGGAACCGGAGACTGTTCTCACCATTTTACCGAGGACTTGGGTATTGCCCCTGTGCCTGGGTCACCGTTGGCTCCCTAGCAACTCTCTAATGGGATTTCTTGCTACAGCAGCCACCGAATACATGGAAGGTTCTAGAAAGCCCTAGCACATGGAGGGAGGCAGGAGTCTGGAGAAAGGGGAGCAAAGGTGTCCGCATCAGGTGGGGAGGGTCGTCCATTAATTCTGCCGTCATCATCACTTACACCCCAGCTTCTAAGGACCAGGACTGCCCAAGGCCATTCTCTCCTAATGGCTCCTTTCCCTGATGTGATCCTGACATGGCTGAAATGGGTTTGGGGATACCTTACAGATGTGTCCAGGGTTAGCCTAAGGATAAAATTTTGGAAGCCAGGGATAAAGCTTCATTGCTAGTAAGTGAACACAGACCTTCTGATGTAAAGAGCCCACACTAGAGTGTGTGAGGTGAAGTGAATGATTATACCATTTGAAAATCAGATTAAATAACCCTTTATACGGCAAGGGGCAAGGGGGTAACAGAGTCTCCTTGTGGTGGGTTGCTGCTTGAACACAGGGTTTAATCTTTTCTTCTTGTGTGCAATTCACTACTTATTTTATTTCTACTAAGGACAGTGACTTCTTTCTCCGACAGTTTCCAGATCATTTCCTCAAACACAAGACGCATTCAGCCGCAGGCAGGAACCACACACTGTCCTTCCAGGGCCCTCTTCACAGGGACTGCCAGCATTAGCTCCCCAGGGCAATGAGAGCTTCAAGGACACTCTGAGTCACCCTCTTACTACAGAAAAAAAGGGTTGCAAGAGTCTCTTAGTGACAACCCCCCCAGGCTCCCAAGGGGCTCTTTATCTGCACATCTCCAAGGTTATGAACGGAGGCACATTTCTCTGGAGGTTCTATTGAAACATGGGGTTCTCCCTGGACTGCTGATGCTTGGGCCAGTCCCATCTTTGTGTTGAGGAGCTCTGCTGTGTGTTGTAAGCTGCGTGGCAGCAACCCTTGGCCCTCCTCACTGGGTACCTGTAGAACCCCCACTGTGATCACCGAAGGACATTGCCTAATACTGCCCAAGCCTCAGGTAGGGCTTGTCTGGCTTAAGTTAATAACATAAACATTTAAGTGTACGTTTCATGTTAGGATTTGCTAAAGATGTACGAGCCTACAATGCAGTACTGTGCTAATTCCTTACCCTACAGATGAACTAGGAGCTTAAATACCTTGCCCAAGGTCCCAAATCTTATAGGTGGGAGTCTGTTGACTTATCTAAGGAGGTCTGAGCTGCTTCCACCAGAGAACACGTTTTATTTTTTATTGTGGTGAATACACATAACAAAGACTGACCATCTGACCGCGTCAGCATAAGCAGACTGGCTTAACGAGGGGCGTTTGCCCTCCCCACGTCCTCTTAGAGGCAGTGGCTGCTAAGGATACCTTGGCAGGAAGGTGAGACTATGAATACACAGAAGTGTATTCTAGTCACCTCCCACTCTTTTTTCTCTTCCCATAATGAGGGCTGGAATTCTATTTTTAGAGTCTCTGTTCTTTCTCTCCGCATTCAGGATCTCACTTCAGGAAGGTGTCCAGAAACAAGAAAGCAACAGAATGTTGTCAGACAAAGAGAGGATGGGTCAACAGCTGAAAAGATGTGGGAAGCAGCCACCTGGGGTGCTGAGCATCACAGAGGACGACGGGACCTCAGAAATCGCGGGCTCACTGGCTGCTGCCCCACCCGCTCTCCTGACAGGCCTCTCCTGGCCTCTAGAAGCCATGTCCTTTTGCCTTACCTGGATTACTAGGTAGTGATGTACCACAGGCTCACTATTTTCCCACGGACCCTAAGTGTGTCCCAGAGATGCATTACAAAGAGGCCTGTTAAAGAGTGTCACCCCAGTTCCGGGACCCCATTCCCTCTCAGTACTCCTGGCCTTTTACACTTCCCTATCTTGTGTAGTGATAACCCAAACTACGGCCTGTCTGCCCTCACTAGCCTGACTGCCGCTTCTGAAGCCTCTGGCAGTGCAGAAGATGACACTTGGTTGTACACATGCTGGCCAGGAACCACAGGGGGTCTCTACTATCTCACCGGTGTTTGTGGCAATTAGAGTATGTCTGAGGAAAAATAGTGCTGACGTAATAAAGGCCTGAATGGAGCCAGAGGTTCTATTTCCAGCATTCTCTCAGGCAGCTCTGAAGACAAAGATTTAAATAGACACACACAGACAACATATGGGAGGGGGGTGGAGAGAGAGACAGGTAGGTGTGTGTGTGTGTGTGTGTGTGTGTGTAGAGACAGAGATACAGAGAAGAAGGGAGGGAGAGAGACAGAGAGACAGACATGGAGAGAGATTAACCAAAGCAATAATACCGAGAAATGAGAAAAGGCCAAAATATTCACTATAGGGAAAAGGACAAATAACCAATGGTCAAGTGTGTAATGGTATATTACATAAATATTAACCAAAGTGAGCAGAACACCTCAGTGATGGGACCATCTACCCCTGCATAGTATTAGGGGAGGGGCGGGCTGCTGAAGCAGTTACCAGCATATTCCCTATTTTGTAAGAGAAATCGACCAAAATATTTCCCTCACCCCAAATTGTGGAACATAAGCAATAGAATCTCTGGGCAGAGAAATTGTCACAGGCCTCTATCTTCCTCTATATATTTTGTACTTCTTATAATTATAACTTAGTCCTATTAAATAATAATTATCTTAAAAACTATATTCTATGAACTTTGCTAGTCATGTGGACATACAATAAGCTGTTTGTGCCTGATACAGCCTGGCATTCACTCTAAAACCTCTTTTCCCTCAGGAGAAGGAACCCAGGGTCTGTGGCCCCAGAAACAGACCCAGGTCCAATTCTCCTGTCTGTAACTCCTCAGTGGCTCCTCACAGGGACAGCGATGGAGCCCACAAGAGACACTGTAAGACTGGTGGTTCTCTGTATAAT